AGCAGGACTAGGGAATTGATCGTCCTCCTGTACTGAAAATGGGTGAGGCTGCACCTCAAATCCTGGGTTCAGTTTTGGGCCCCTCACTACAAGACAGACACTGAGGTGCTGGAGCATGTCCAGAGAAGGGCAACGGAGCTGGGGAAGGTTCTGGAGCACAAGTCCTGTGAGGAGCAACTGAGGGAACTGGGCTTGTTCAGCCTGGAGAAGAGGAGGCTCAGGGGAGACCTTATTGCTCTCTACAACTGCCTGAAAGGAGGTTGTAGCCAGGTGGGGGTTGGTCTCTCCTCCCAAGTGACAAACAATAGGACAAGAGGAAACTGCCTCAAATTGCACCCGGCGGGGTTTAGATTGGATATTAGGAAAAATTCTTCACTGACAGGGTTGTCAGGCATTGGAACGGGCTGCCCAGGGAGGTGGTTTAGTCACCATCTCTGGGGGTATTTAAGAGACTGTAGATGTGGCACTCAGGCACACAGTTTAGTGGTGGACTGAGCAGTGCTGGGTTAGCAGTTGAACTTGATGATCTTAAAGGTCTTTTCCAGCCTAAATGACTCTATGAATCTATGAAAATATTAAGTAATGCAAAAAATGGTGTTTTTTTTCCCCATGGTCTTCCTTGCATGACTGTAGAATCTTGTACTTGACATTCAAATTGTTCCATTATACACACGCAGTATAATACAGTATACAGTATCTTGCCATATACATCAGATCTATTTGCAGCTGGAATCCCCCCCGTGTCTTTAAAGAAAATCCTCGCTCTTGTGAGTTTAGGTCAGAATCTTGACCTTCTTTGACTTTCACAGCCATGTCACAACTTTGTGTATTCAAACTTCTGTAACCAAATGCATCTAGAACATTCCATATTATGAATGTAAAAGTAAAGGTGTCTAATGTTAAAAAAGGAAACAGAATAAGAGTTGCTAGAAGTGTTTCCATATGGTAAACAAGTTTCTTTTTCTTTTGTTTTACAAATCACTGTATTGGGAATTCCACAAATACAGATCTGGAATACAGTTCTCAAATACATCATCTGCTGCTAAGAATTTGATTAACTGACTCCCCATTTATTCAATTACTTCATCAATAGCTTGGCATTTTTAAAAGTTAATCTTTTTTATCCATTAGTAATTATTGTTTAATCCATGTCTTGCAATATTCCTAATGGTCAGTTTCATTAATATAATGAAGAACAGCTAAATATCTCTTCTCTAAATGCTATCTATTTTGAATCACAGCTTAGTCCCAAGCATGTCATTGACCAGGATTTTTAATAGTCTCATGGACGACTGATATACACAGGGTAAACAAGACTGTTTTGAATACATGGGTTATTTGGAATTTTTCAATGCTTTTATCATGTTTGCATAAAATTCGATACAGTGGCAGCAAAAATTGCCCAGGGAAATAAAAGGAGAGGGGAAAAAAAAGAAGTAAAGAGCATTCAGTGGATGCTAGGTCAGCAAACAAATGTGTTTATTCCCAACTCTATGACTGAAATGCCCTTGGGCATGGCGCCTTACCCCTTTTTTCCTCTGTTGCTCCACTTCCTTCTTCTTTTGTCTGTTGGACTGGAGGTTTGGCTGGGTGCAGACTGGGGGTGCTACTCAGGATAGCAAAATGGGGTCCTGATCTCTGCTGTGGCCTCTAGGTGTTGCTATAATACAAATAATTAATCAAAGACACGTTTCATAGTGTCCGTGGAGGGAGTTGCCAATTTTTGTCAGACCCATGCTTAATTTTATACAATTAAACCTCTCTCTCTCTCCCTCCTGCTCCTCTCTGCAACTCAAATTTCAGCTTTGCATATTGGACGAATGAACCCGAGCGTGACGAGGAAAGTCGTAGAAAGAGCTTTGACTCCCCTCTAGTTAAAGGTGCTCGTTTTGGGGTGCCTGGGTGTCAGACTCCCGTCCAAGGATGGTCTCTGCTAGAGGAAGCGGCTGTTACCTTCCTGTCTCAGCCCAACCTTCTGCTGCCAGAGTCCATCACCAGGCAGCAAGGACTATGCCACGCCTGTGGTTTAGGGGTACGAACATATGGGTGTGGGTGACCTGGGTCAGGAACCAGTTCTGTTCCCGTGTCTAAGGACATAACTTAGGGCCCCAGACATAATGACAAATCGGGATACTTGTGAGTTTAGTGAGGATAAGCTTTGTCTTGTAGGGTGGAAATTCAGACCCTGGTGTGGGTTGGTCACAAGATCTGCGTGATTGGCTTAGCAGGAGACTACTGTGCAAAACTCGTTGCCATTATCATCAACGATCATAAGATTTGTAGTTTCATTATAAAAAATTAGGCAAAGAAGCGAGAAACAATTTGGAAGAGTTTGCGCCACCTCTTGCTTTCCCATGTTTCCACAGAAGGTGCTGCCGATCCGCAGTACATCATTTGGTGTAACCTCCAGCCAGGCGGTTGCTGCAGAAGAACAGCTCTCGCGGAGGTGTGCCGGAGCCGTCAGTACTTACGGTGACACCCGGAATAGTGGCAGATGCCTCTCAAAACTGCATGTGTTGAAAATGCACTGGTAGCCAAACAGTTTTGTCTGGCAGGGGATAAGTGATCACTCCGGCAAAGCCAAGGCCGAGGAAGGGAAGGGATTGGATGCACATTTAAAGAAAATGCTGCAGGTGCCTGCTGCAGCGACGTCTTACCAGGATTGAGTGGCACTAAGGGGCAGAAGATGGGATCAGATCTCTGTCCTCTTTCTAGCCCGAGACAGGTGCTATGGGACCACGAGCCCTATGGCCGACCCCTCCCGCCCTTGTGGCCATCATCACCTGTGAGTTAATTACAACCCCTTCCTGGCATGGGAGAGAACAATGAGGGGCCGGGAGTCTCCCCACTCTGCTCTGTACGTCGTTCAACCTCTGGGACAACCGTGGTCCAGCTCTCGATATCTAGTGGAGACTGTGTAACCAGACACCGCAGGTCTTACTGTATTGATACAAAAGCTGTTTTAATTAAAAGACTAGCCATTAAATCGCCAGTGTTCTTAAGCATGCTTCACCAATTTTTCCACTTTTAAGACTCGAGTAGACAATTTTTTTAATGTTTTATAAAGGATAAAAAATTCACATCAGATTTTAACAGAATTAAGCATACTTATTCAACACACATGGGGCCTCTGAAAAAAATGTTATTCAATTTAATAATTTTAATTTACATTGGATATGTACAAGAGCATTTCTTTCAACCCACAGGTTAACACCACCGACAAAAAAAAAAAGAAAAAAAAAAGTGCTGCGGTTAGCGGAGTGAAGAAACTCTTGAAACACTGTTGTCTGAAATAAAAGCAAGGCACTCTCCCTTAACACCTGATATATTCCTGAATTCTGCCTCGGCAAAGGCATGTTCACACTGAGAGAGCTCTAAGGAAAGGAGTAGATGTATTCTGCGCTAACTTTTTCTTTCACCACTGTGACCTGTCACTGGCTGTAGTCTAGGATGAGCCTGCGTATCGAAGCTGACGTGAAGGACAATTCCACAGATGACGGGGTTCGGGAGAGTATCACAGTTAAGACTATCCATGGAAGACTGGAGGACACCAGCTACATGAAATCTCACACGGGGCTCTGGACCTGCTACCTCCCACTCACATTCCACTTAATAAATAAACCTTGCTCGACAAAAAAGCGATTTGACTGTACTATGCTGATTCGCCTGAAAATCCTCTGTGAGGGCCCGCTCGCAGGAAGCGCCGGCGAGCCCTCGTCTGGCTGGTGCTCAGCACCTGGCAGGATCTGTCCCTAGATAAAAGTCATTCCTCAAGGGACCTTGTGTCTTACACAAGGAGACAAAAGTCAACACACTTCTGGACTGTGTGGCTGGATGTTTCTGTCTGCGCACATGTGTGTGAGCGTGTATATATATATACGTATATATATATATTTAGTATATACAAAAGCAAATTCAGTCAAAATATATTTGTCTTGCTGGTCAGGCTTGTTACAGCAACCTACAAGAAACATTAGCTTCTCTGATATTTAATTATGCTATTATGTTTGCACATAAGCTTAAAAGTCAATACAAAAAGCAATACTTTCCCAAATATTATCTGCAGGTAAACCGGAAATATTAACTATAGTGATTAGAAGTCTGTTTCCCTATTGACACTACTATAAATCTTGATATAAGAATAATTTTTTCATAAAAGCACATCCAAACATAGTAAGTGATAAAATACCAGATTACTATTTGAAAACCATACAGTGACTCGATATCTGGGTTATCCTTTGCAGCAATTAGGCAATTCATTTGGCATCTGTTTGATTGTATAATTTAATTTCCATATAAACAGCATAGTTTAAAAAAAGACAAAAGCTAGAATGTTTAAAGCTAACAAAAGATACAGTGACATCAGGTTGACATTCAAAAATTTCCTTAGCAAAATGACCAACAAAAGTTCGACTTAATACAGTGCATATAAACTTTTTTTAGAACTAAACTTTTTTAAATATTATTTGAATTTAGCAAAACATGAGCAAGATTTTCATATCAAAGTGCTAAACAGTACTGCCTTAGAAGTCACTGCAAATAGACTGTAAAATAACTCTGCTTGTGATTTGACAGATATTCTATATACAAATGGTTAATAAAAAGACACGCGCGCGCACACACGCACACAAACACAGGTATATACATATATATATATACACATTATATATATGTATATAGTTTTCCAACTGGTGCATCTGAGTCAGTGTGAACACCCCATTTCGTTATCGTGTGTAACAGGGCTCCCATGAGCTGGCAGTCATTGCAATAAATACAGGCAAAGCCATTACAATATACCATGCATACAAACGTTTATACAAATAAAGACACTATGCAACAAATTATTTCATATTAATATGGCATCAACAGTATAAACATACAAAAAGGAGTACGAACACGGAATGTTTAAACGCAGCCCACTATGCCCTTCCTAGCACTTACATTCATACTATTTTACAAGACTTGCTTGTTCTTGAAAACCACCTTCTGTCCGTTTACTAACCAGCCGCTTGCGTTAGGAGTCTCAAACCGAACTGTCCCTGATGCTGACCCCGTATGCTCCAATCGCTACTTACTCGGGTTTCCTCAGCTAAGGAACAACTGAGCCACAATTGCTCCCGGGTCTTCCGCTTACATGTGTCGATAAGTCGCGCTACATGGAATCAAGTTGGGAAAACTCGGTCAGCTAAGTTAGTGCATGTAATTTTCTCACTCGATTTCTTCCGCTTGTTGTCATAGTAAAATAAATTAGTTAATAAACGAGACTTGGTAAGACAGCACTTTAAAAAATTGCACTTGAACGTGGGAGCTAACAGCCATTGTCATTTTGCTATATTCGATTCGTATGAAATGTTCGATTGAATGTACTTTGCTAAAAAAGTGATTTTTTTTTTTGTCGTTGAGATTGTGCTGATGTATGTGCCCTTGACGCGCAAGAAGTATGCTAAAGGTATCCTCACAAAACACACACTACCCTGGCAAACAACTAGTTGCTGTTCTTGTTCTCAAACACAGCTTCTACAACTTTGCTCCTCATATAGCATGAGGTGTTAAACAACGGATTGAAAACAGTCATGTTAACCTTTTACTGCTGCTGGGATAGCATTGTCCAAAAGTGCCATATTAGCCATTTAAAAAAACCCAAATCACACAAAAGAAAACAAAGAACACAGCCCCAAACCAGGAAGCCAGTAAGCTTTGGGCCTCAGGTTGTAAGGACAAAGCGCCAGAAAAGACCTCACTTTAGACCTGGAGCTGCTTTTCCGTTAAGCGAGGGCAGAAACGTTAGCTGTAAGTCACGATCCGTTTGCCCGCTCCGTCGGGCATTTGCCTTTCAGGAGGGCGGTTTGACTCAGAAGGGTAAGGTGTCCAGGAAGAGCCTGTCGATAATGGAAGGGGCTGGCACCAAATCTTCCAGTTTCAGGTAAAAGATGCGCTGCAGTCCCAGTGTGCAGAGAGAACGCAAGTCGGCCAGAACACCCAGTACCTTCGGCTCTGCAGACTCAAGCGGTTGTCCTTTGTTTTGGCAACTGAAAGTTAAGTGATCTTTCAAACTGCTTGTGATCTTGTTGCATAGCTCTTCCACTTTCTTTGGTTCTTTTAATCCATGTCGTTCTGTAAAAGCGAGAGGGAAACCACATCAGCGTCCCTGCCACACAGCGCGAGAACTCGTTCTCTTTGGTGCCACCCAAATCCACGCTCTGGGACCGGGAGCAAAAAACGCTCTGAAAGTGTAAGATTCCTCAGAGCGGTTGGGGCTGTACGATGTCCGTTAACCTCTCTGCCGCGCAAAACAAGAGGTGGCACGAGTCCCTTCCTCTTTAGCTGCTAAAATAGGCAGCAGAGATGCTCGACTACGACTGACATTCTAGGACAAGGAGTCCGAGCATCCTGCATAGCTCGCATAATTTTCATGATATGAGACCGAATTAATTGGGTGATTTTCCAGCAAAACTATCACAGGAGGTGTTTTGGAGATTTCCGTGCTTCCCCGCCAGTTGTGAATGCTCAATAACTATGGCAACCATTATTTATTCAGTGAATTCAAGTGGCGATCGATATCCTTAGCCAGCTCCATCAGCACTGGGCCTAGAATTCCAGC